CCCCGCCCCAAAGCCCGCTGGGGCGGGGCATCGCCTGCCAGAGCCCGCCCCACCCCGCCCCGAGTGACACTCTACCGTTTGCTATGCTATCGCGAGTGGTGCAGCCGGCGGTGTCACCGCAGTCGTTGGTGTCGTTGACAGCAAGGTTTGCGTTGAGGCTGGTACTGGTCATCCCCTGCCCTCGTGTAAGAGTATTTTTGCGTTCATCAATACCGCTGGCACGACATTCACTGGTGGCATGGTCAACACTTATTGCCCTCAATTCCTCAGTCTCTTTGTGTCATGCCATGGCTCTGATACACAGGCCACTGCACGAAGCAACAAGGCCTTTGAGATGACTGGATTCAACACTCAGAAAGACTACAACTGCAAGGAACCCCATCAGGGTGAGCAATGCGTTGCGACAACTGTCCAGTAAAAGCTTGCTGGTATATACATGGCTCTACTGAGTATATCCTACTTTTGAAGCCCATCAAAGTGTCAGTTGTGCGAACAACCTTGGAAGTCGCTAGGGAGTTGGTATCTTGGATATGCATATATACTCCTTTGTATATAACAAGCAGTGAAGCATCTCAGAAATGGCATCTTGCACATAACAGTAAATTATCAATCATCTCGCAATAAGCGCACACGCCCTCCCGAGGTCTATAATAATGGGACCATGGCTATTCTTCATCATTAGAGCCCATGATACTCTCGACGCTTCGTGTCTAATCCAAGTCAACATCCAGAGTAAATAGTAAGTAAGGCTCTCAGCCCCGCATGCTTCGGGCGGGTCAATGCCTGCATTAGCGAGACTAGTGGGCCCGAAGGATCCACAGATGAATTGCTGCCTGTGCCAGGTAAGTGGTTTGCGGCATTTCTTGATTTTGTTTCCAAATTTTGAACTTTCAGACTCGGGCGGTCGGGCGGAATCCACTCCAGTCTATATAATCCAACCATAGCCCCCAGCAACACCTGGGCAGCCTTCGACTCGGCAGTTCCGACTCAATATTGCATCCACACCGATACCATCCATGTTCTTTGACACTGGAAGTATCCTATGAAATTCCATACTCTTCTTCGAACGATATCCCACACATTATCTACCAATCTTGGAACTTAGAAGACAAGTGAAATACTGCTTGGATATTGGTAGGCAATAACGATTTTCATTTGATTAGATTAGTAACTTGAACTCAATTAACACCCTAGTGCTTAATTTAGTACATGGATTGTGTCACATTATCATATTTTGCAATATGAAGACCGAAGACAACAGCAGATTCGCCCCTTCAACTCATACTCCTAGGCCCCAGGGCCCTTCATGGCGAGGTTCTGCCGAGGCATTCATGATAAGCGGCGTGACTTTTATGATCACTCTCTGTATCAAAGATGCTATCTTTAAGTCTGACAGCTTTTTCATTCAGTGGGGGGTTTATGCATCATTATACACGTTGTTTAATTTTCTGTACCAGAAGGTCCTCCAATCTATTTAAACATATTTATTATTTTTGCGAATCAGGCTATCGCATGAGAAATGCCTCCATATATAATACCTAGGTAGCTTAAATCAATTCCAAGGTTTGCATCCAGGTAGTGTGGGCGTCGCGTGTCTCCCCAACGGCTTTGCCGTGTGACGGGTCGCATCAGTTCCACATCGGGGTCGAGGCCACAGATGACCCGGATCATGTCAGTGTCGAGTTGCAGGGGATGATATGGGTGAGAAAGGTGCGGGGGCTGGCGTGCTTCATGATCAACATATGCTGCTCCTTGCTTACCCACGCTGTGGACGACATCAGCCACCAAGCTAACAGGATAAAATTCAGACTCCATGGAAGGACTCACCACTCTCATTGATCACTTTACTACTTTGACTAGGTGCTGTGAGAGTGAAGCCATGTTTGGCGCCCACCTAACGCCGAGCCAACACTGGCTTTCGCTGAGGATGCAGTACCTGAAACTGGACTTGCTGTCACGGAGCATGGACACTTGTTAGCTGTATAGCATGTTTGATTACTTTGACCTGTTTGGCGTAGGACATTCACTGAGCCTCGCTTAAACCCCTCGCACACATTAGATAGCTCGTCGCCGGCAGGCCTGCCTCTTTCCTTTTCTCTCCTCATGTTAGAATTTCGTCAGATAGTCTACCAATAGATTCTTATTGAACGAGACCGTCACATCCATTGCCAGTGCTGTACCAGATCAACACCAATGTACCAACAATATCTGACAGGGAGCCACTGGTGAGCTTTCAACATAGCCTGAGGGTCAAGAGAGTTATCTACCTATTCCAGTACATGCAGATCTCATTGAGTTTTTCTGAGTGCCATTGCTGTACCACTTCTATTGAAGCTGGGAGACATTCAAGCCAGAGAGGGCCCAGGGAGCCCCAGATTCTCATGACTTGAGCAGAGCTGGGCCCTCAGCTCAAGCACATCATAGATGTAAATAGGTATCAATAACTCCTGACTGCTTACAGGCGGTGGAACAGTTCCTGTGTAGCCATGGACTAAAATTGGCTGGGACTGGTAACGAATAAATCCAAATCCGAATCTGAATCCGAAAGTTACCAACACTATCACTGATCATTTGTCAAGGGAAGATTTGATTGTGGCTATGTGCAGATGCCAAGATAAGTTGGTGTTTTGAAGTTGGAAAAGGACAGCCAATGATCAGTTGCTGTGGCATGCTATTAGGTTGGAAAGATTTCAAAGGATTGAGATTACGCGGCGCTGCGCGATGTTGGGTGATGGCTCACCCTCATCTATAGCGCACTCACCCAAACTCACCCCTGGTCGCGCGACCGAAAAGCGACATCACCCTTTAACTCACCCGGGAGGCACCCACCGAACTATCATCCGCAGTTAAGCCACACGCCGGCCGGTTAGTAGTTGGGTGGGTGACCACCAGCGAATCCCGGCTGTTGTATGTTTTTGTTTTTCTTTTTTTTTTTGCCTGTGTTTTTCTAAATGTCACGGCGCTCTACTAGGATAACGGAACATTCAACTCATGGGTTCTACCTAGGTAGCTATCGACGAGAATAATCAACATGAGGAAGGAAGAGAGGAGGTAACGCCGTATTTATCAACAAAGCAATAAACCAAACAACTGCACCTCACGTGATACCCAGCCAACGTGACCTGGCCGTCACACTAAAGGCAATACTGATGTTACTATCACGGAGCATGGATGCTCGCTAATTGCATAGCATACTCACTTACTCAGCCTGTTCGGAGTAACTAGGGTATTCACTGAGCATGAGCGCTCGCTAGATGTATATAGCCCGTCGCCGACAAGCCCTGTGTCACGGGCTCGGAATAGTAGATACGAATGAACTGAATTCCTATCTAAATTGGTGTAGCCATCGACGAAAATATCGAATCTGAAGGAGTAAGGAAAAGGAGAGAAGAGCCTTTTTACACGAAGTCTTATAGGGTTTGTGTGGTCTCGCTAAGTAGCTGTTTGTCTCGATTGCTCTCGTGGCCTCGTTTGCCATGTTGGTAATGCTTGCTGATAATGGCGCTGAACTGAGCCGTCACATTGCCATCCTCCCAAGGCCAGTGGTTGGCAAGAATTGCCGGGTCGATGGGAATGTCGTCCTATGCATCCGGAAGCCTGAAGAACCCTTCTAGACTGTCGTCCGAGCTAGATATACTGGGAGATGATAGACCATCCTCTGCAAAATCTTCCCGAAAGGCTGGCGGCTTCATTATGATATCAGTGTCATCTTGAATATCGCAGCGGGGAATTGGATCTGGATCTGAGATGTGAGGCTGAATCATGGGGAAATGTTGTGCCGTGCTCAGGATTCTCTGGATATGTACTCTGTTCTGGTACAGATATTTCCAGTGGTTGGGATTGAGAGTTAGATGGTGTACACGGCTGAGTGTTTGCACTGATATGCATGCAAGCTTCTGCTGGTGGCCGCGCAGAGAGGTGATGCTTGGGAAGTGGCAAAGTTCTTGGAAGGGAATCATGATAAGGCTTGGGGCGAGGGAATTCTTGGGTTCTTGGGTGCATGGATTGGGTGATTTGTATGGCGAGAATGGCTTTCTATAAGGGCGAGCGGCGAGCCCACGGCTTGAAGTTGTTTATGTGAAAGGTAGGGGGGCATATTTTAGGAAAAGTGTCAGGGTGCAGGCCCAGGAACAGATATATATTAGAGATTGACGAACAGAATAAGCTACAGGTCAGGTTATCTTGGGGTTCATAGACAAGACGCAGCTCGAAGAGCTGCAACAGGATCGCCGTCAGCGACGGATATATCTTCTGTGGGTCACGTGTACAATCATGTAGGTAACAGGCAGGCTAGCACCTTGATAAAAAGGGGATGTTTAGGGGTATATTATGATAGACAGGTGATTGGAAAGAGGGAAGAGGACGCGCGTGGAAGCTGAAGGGGAGAGTGTGGGTTGTGGGAGAATTGAGTTGAGAAGTTGCAACCTCTCCGGGCTTGATTGCCCTCCTTATACTTGCTCTCGGTCTGTCAAGTCCACCATTCCGCCTTTCTCATCAGCAGAAGCATGAGGCAAATTACTCTCGTCCTCAAAATCTCGTTTGAGTCTGCTGACATGTCCATCTTCATCTACTAGTGACGCCTGGAGGCCGAGATCCAGTGCCCTGTGCCAATCGCATCTGGACATTGCAGCTCTAAGCTTCGCATGTCGAACACGCTGAAATGAGCCCGAAAGCGGCGTGAGGCAGCGCTATCCCTAACACAGTAGGCGCCATACTGCAAAGGGCAATGGTATTTCCATAGGCGATAGGCGGTAGGACTCGACAGAAGCGTGGTTTAATGGGAGCCATTTCTGGCGCCCCGCTAACCGTCACAAAAAATACTCGGTAGTATTAGTTATTATATATAGTTACTCATAAGTATTTTCTGCCATAGCTTTAGGGCTCGATATGGACGATAAACTTGATCAAATGAATACTCTTATGTAATCCTAATACTATAACTAACTTAAAATACAGCTAGAAATGGCATAAAATATGCAAGTCACGGGATTCCCCATGTTTGATGAAACGGATAAACCAATGAGGCGGTTAACTCCGAGTCGGGGAAGTCGGGGAGTCGATTATCCGGACTGCACGAGGCTATATATGAAGAGGAAATTTAGATTACACGGAGGGTGACAATGATATCTATAGACACCGTAGATGGTAGAATGAGTGCTTGACTATCTAAACGAGTGTGTGTGTCCGTATATGAGGGATCTGTCGGCCTCGGTAATCGGACAAACTATTGATCCACCTCGACTTTCATCATTTGACGAGGCCTAGTGGTGGTCAAGCGAAACAATTGACCTTCTTATGTCAAATAATTTTTCAAATGCACTGTTTGATTTTGCTGGCTTTACTCACTCATCACCCCAACACTCACCCTCGACTCTCAAGGCATCACCTCAAATCACCTGCACTCAACTAGTGCTCACCTGGTCATCACCCTTAAAACACAGGGAAGAAAAAAGAAAAACAAAAACATACAACAGCCGGGATTCGCTGGTGGTCACCCACCCAACTACTAACCGGCCGGCGTGTGGCTTAAGTACGGCTGAGCGGACGGGAAGCCCTGTTTTCCACACCCTATGGTCGTATGTGTCAATTATTGTTGCAATATGGTTTTTACCTAACTTCTTTTTGGTCGCGACCAAAGGGAGTCTGGGTGAGTGCGCTATAGAGAGGATAATCACCCAACAATGCACAGCACCATCCAATCTCAATCTTTTGGAACTCTTATAATTAATGGCATGCTACTGCGACGGCTCACACATGACAGCTCGCATACGGCAGCTTAACACTGCAACAATAGACGATACATCACAAATGCCGCTTTTCAGCCGTACCACCAACAAACCCTATAAAAAACCTCTTCATTATCCAGATAGATGTCCTCTTCTCTTTTCTTCCCCAGATTTGATATTCTCGTCGATGGCTACAATAGTTTAGATAGGAAAATCGATTCAGTGTTATCTGCTATTCCGTGCCCGTTCCAGCTACAGGCACTGATCTTCGGTTGTCCTATTCACAACTTCAAAAATCAGACTATTTGGCATCTACACCTGCTGTCACGGAGCGTGAGCGCCCGCTATATGCATAGAATGCTCGGTTAACTTGGCCTGTCTGAGTAGGGCATTCACTGAACATGGACGCTCGCTAGTGGCATGACATGTTTAATCACTTCGACCTGTTTGGACATAGGGCAGAAACTTCTCGCACACACTAGATATCTCAGCGCTGGCAGGCCCAGCATATTTCCTTTCCTTCATGTTAGTGTTTCGTCAGATAGTCTACCAATAGATTCCTATTGAACGAGACCGTCAGACTTGCTCTTGCTTCTCTTTCTAAGTACACTGCACCCGAATCCTATCCACCTTCCACACAAGTAACTTCTGGCGTTGTAATCCCCACAAAACAGACGATCCCCCTCTTTGCCTGCCCCATACTGAGGAACTAATGGACGATACGCTGGAATACTTGATACTGCAGTAGACAACATTGACTTTAGATGAGATGCGGCGAAAATAGGCTTACGGTTTGGTTTATCGCACATGTTATAGTTCCGTGAGCAATACTGCGAGCATCCAGATATTGGAAAAGGCAATGTATAGTTCTGTAGTTAAGTCTCAGTTCCGTAAAAGCTAGCCCTGTGGCAATCTAGCTTACAAGAAAGGAAGTTACATCCTGCCCATCGGGTCCTCAATATCTCCATCAAGAATCTTACTGCAAGTATCCATATCCACAGACCCATCAGCACGAAGATACTCAGGCCGACAATACAACTCCAACGCCTCCATACCACAGCTAGTGATGGAGTTCCAGAAATAAAACCCAAATCGGAATGGTACACGCCACTTCCACCAGATATACCCATCCTCGCAGACCCTAGCATGGCCAGGGATACTGGCATCCGCATCCGGTTGCTCATGTGTTTCATCCCAGTATGACTTCTTTGTAGCATAATACATCAGAAGTGTCTCATCCTCCATAGACCTGCTGTCTAGAACAGCAATCCAGCGATTGGAAATACCTCCGGATCGACCATTTTTTTCAATCCATTCGTGGATGAGATGACGGACTTCATCTTCTGTTTTGTCTTGGAAGTCGCTGGCGAAATCCTGAATGTCTGGTTTGGTGCCATTTCTGTCAACTTCTGTTTGGTTTGTTGCTTGGAGGATGCAAAAAAGATCGAAGGCGTATGGGGAGCCTTGGAGGCTTTCTTTAAGGAAGTGGTTGATGACCTGAACCTGAAGTTAGCGTGACTCGTACTTCGCTAATGGAGAGATCAAGTATGGAAAAGGAAGAATGGGCCAGCTTACGTTTGCAGGCACCTGAGCGGTGCAGACAGTTAGAATTGTAGCCATTATACTTGCTTGTATGGGAGAAATATTGTGTAAGCTTGGAGGAGTGCCCAGGAACGTTTAGTACTCAAGACTCTCTAGAGGAGTTGTAATCCTCGGCGCAAGACATGGGTCCCGAGCTGAATCCAGGAACCGGGGAGGTGAATATTACATGTAGGGGGTACGGTGTTCCTATTCATTCATACTTAGATTTTCATTTTATATGTAGATCATGTCTTTTCAAAAGTGGAGGTGTACTAACGAGTTAGTGACTCAGCAACCCTAGATTCTCACCATATTAATTATCGTCCACGGTAAGAGCAATACAATCCATTCTTATCAGTTTTAAATCTACTATAGAGACAAAAAAATTTTAGCGGGGAAAGTGGATAAAGTTCTTGTCTAGATGCATGCAACATGCAAGCATACAGTCCATATGCCAGATGATGAACTCCACTATTTCCCTCGATCAAAATATGCACGGAGGATTGATGACCTTGTTTATTCCCATTGGCGTTGTTCTTGCAACAGCCTCATTTCACCTTGCTAGCTGCATTTTCGGCCACGCTAGCTTCCCCATGTCCGGATATACCACGTTCAGCATGCAAGGAAAATATAAGTATGTTTGAATCTTTCTCCGTAAGTCTTCCCTTTCAGAAATTTTAAAGGAAAAGCATGAAGAGACGTAAGTACAGAGACAATGACGAAGATATGAAGATACCAGAATATGCGGTGACCAGCCAACTGACCTCCGGATTGTGGTTATAGAAAGTTTTCGGCCACTCCAGTCACCCTCATCATTACTCTCAAGCCTTTTACTTTCCGAGCCACAAAAGGGTGAAAAGAAAGAGATTTCTCTACGGGCACATGTCTTGCGAGTGAAAGCAGCGAATTGTCAGTCAAATTGGCTAGACAAACGAAAATACCGGCAACTGCTTGAGAACCAGGAAATCTTATCCATTCTCTTCGACGCTCTAACCTAAGCCGCCGAAAACTTTTTGCTAATGTCTATTTAGACGAAAGAATCTAAACACTCAAAGAAATTCGTCCATCAAACAAGTACATAGAACACCATGTGTAGATTGCCTCATGAACCTATTTATCCCAGACATTTTCCTCCAGTGGCCCGTAAGCCCAAGCCGGCCCTTTGGGCGGCTCTTCATCGGGACTTTCCTCCCGTCGGGTTGTTTCCGTGCTCTCAACATATGGCTGTTCGCTTTCTACATTTTGCAGCGTCTCGACGTTGGGCGGTTCATCCGCAGGGCGCCCCGATGGGCGTCTAGCAATCAGGTCAGCCAAGCATGTCTTCATCTCATCTGGGAAGAAACGGGAAGTATTTACTCGAAATGCCTCCGTTCGGGACCAGCCCAGGCAGAGCCAAGTGTTCTCTGAGTATGTACTCTTTCTTGCTCCTCAGCTTCATGATTCTCCACGACCAAGTCAACCAATTGCCCACGAGAGCCGTGAGATGTACTGCTGGTTTCCCGCCGCAAAGCGCCAGACTCGCCCAACGAGTTTTTCTTTTGAGTATTTTTGATGTTCTCAGGGCTGCGATGTCCTTCAGTTCCGTGCGTGGCTTCACTACCAGCTCGGCTTTTTCGGTGTTTCCGGGCCTTCCTGACAGGCTCAGATGATTGGGAGCTATGTCTAGATGAACGTAGGCTCTGGTGACTCTGGTACGGCTTCGGATACCCAAAACGTTGGTCTCGTGGAACTTCATTAGCTGTGATCACAGGGTACTGATTGCTTGTTAGCTTTCTCAGTTCCAGCCAAAGCTAGGGGTGGTATGAACGTACATTCCAGTCGCCAAACTCTAAGGCTCGAGCCTTGGTAAATAGGCGTTCATCTTCATCGTCCAGTGTAGACTCTTCGAGATCGCCATAGGCGCGAAAGCGCTCCAGCGTGCTGCTTCTTCTGTCCCCCCCACTCGATGTCTCTCCAGCAAGTAACGGTGTCCGGCTATTAACCTCACCTGGCCGTGGAATCCAATACTTCCCCTTTCCTCCCCGCTCGTACCGCATGCCATCCATTACCCGTTTGACACGGGAGGCTGACTCCGCGTGAGGGATAATGTGATCACCGGAATCGAATAACCGATACTCATAGTTTTCGCCCCGGAGAGTCATCTTTGTATCTTCGATGAGATCTCGGGGTCCGAACGCATCTCGAAGGGCGTATATCACCGGTAACCGAGCGGCGGAAATCGTTTTGTCTGCATAATCATGCCATGAGAATGCATACCAGTGAGTGATTGCAAAAAACGGCATTTCAAAGCATATCAAGGTGTCCTGGATGGCGGCAGCGAGGTTGTCCGGCGTATATCCTGCAACTCCATTGGACAAGGCCCCAAGCCATTGGAGAATTGACAAGAAGAATCCTTGCCAGTAAGAAGCAAAAATAATGAGCTTGACGCAGAGAAATTTGGGAACGGGTCGAAACGGTTTTAGGTCGTCGTGCAGGCAAACCCAGAACATCGCCAAAGAATACAGACTTAGAGTAACGCTGACATTGTACACTAATCCCGTCCACAGGTAACCTGACGTTAGGCCCAGATAGCCTTCCTGATAGGTACCTGTCGCCTTCATAATGATGGAAACGAGGGCCAGAACCGGCTTCAGCCATGTATACTGGAGGATACCTCGCTTTACAGCCAAGAAGGTGTGCGGGTCCGAAATATCGACTTTAGGGAAAACGTGGTTTAGGGGCCAGGCATGCTGAACAGGCGGACGGCCGTGTGTCATTATGATTAAAGCTCTTTCACCCCCGAGGAAGTTGATAAGTAGTTGGAAGAAGGTATAGATCGTGAATGCCTGCACAAATCCGCATGTTAACTTCCAGACAAGCCGTATGCATAGTTAACCCAGAACAAAATATACCTCATAGACATCGCGAACGGGATCCAGGAATTGAGAAGCCGTTAGAGATACGATACTGGTCCAAGAAGAAGCCGCATATATTGGGACCCTAACCATATGACATTAGCCTCTGAGCTGGCGCCACATAATCATCAAAACCACCAACATCAATAATATGCGAACGACGTATCGTTGGAGCAACGGTTTTCGGTAGTTTTTTCTAAAGTAAACCCATTAGTGTCGTTCGGGAGCAATGCGATTCGAGTAGGGAGTTCTCCTATACGTTTGAAGCCATATGGACCTATTGAGGAAGCGTTATCAGCACAAGACTTCTCGAGGGGTAACCGGATGGGTATTCCTCACACCAAAGAAAGCAAAGAGGCCACCAAAGACGACACACCAGACACTATCACCACCGCTTTAGCCAGGCTTGAGCCCGTGCCACCGGGGGAGCTGGCAGTCATTGTTGTCGACCAAATGTCGTCGCGGTTCCCGACCGCGTGCTCCATGTTCGCTGATTCCACCCACAAACCATTCCGCAGCCTAACAAAATTTTAGGAGGAAAAAGAAGAGAGAAAAGCGCGGGGCATATTTAATTAGAGGGGATAAGCTGCCCAAAGACAAAAGTCCTGGTTGAGAGAAGAGGAGAGGTATCGATTACGAAACGGGGAGCTTCGAGATCCCCGTGACCGCCCAGGAAGGCATAGATTGACTGGCTCTCCTTCTCCCCCGCGAGAAAAAAAGAAGAGCTTTCCATACAGCCCTTTCTGCGAGAAATTGCGAAAAAAGAAAGACGATATTACGCACCTCGTGGAATGATATTTCTCTGAGAAACGGAGAGTGACTGGTCCCCGTTGGGTCGCGATGCGGCCGTCGACGGGCTGTCCCGAGGATAGTTAAGAAATGGCAAGCGATAGTACGAGCTTGACAACGTTGTCGTTGACTCCAGATCCGAGCTTCAACTGGTGAGACGGCGCTTGGTTATAGGGAAGGCAATAGAGCTGACTGATGGTGACAGGTTTTTCCTTCTCGAACTTATCGTATCCTGCCT